CTACTTTACTGTTTGACTGGAACGTATTTATACCCCAACACATGCCAGATTTCTGCATAATGGTGAGCCGTTTAAACATGACACCAATAGCAAAGCAGACAGTGGTACTTTTAATTACTATGTTAATAACTGTGTAATTCATTAGACGGTTGGTAAAAAATTAAGTCATATAATGTGTTTCAAACTGCAATAAAGATGTTAAAAGAACGAAGTATTTTGAGTATTTCATTTTTTGAATACCGCTTGGAATTATGGGTAATCCACAGCGTTTTGTACTTCATATGTCGTTATGTCATTGCTCCTGCTTGTGCCACTGGTTCTCTTATTTTACTCACCTTCTCTTGGTTCTGGTTCGGTTCCCTGGAACCTGCCAGAAGACCTGGAGTCCACCACCTGGACCTTCTTGGTCTTGATGTTCTCCATCACATCTTCAAAGCTCTTCACCCAGGACTGATTGAGCTCCGCCTGGAAGTCTCTACGCTCCGGCTTGCTGCAGTCGGAGGTCACCGGGTGACCCTCAGCCAGCCAGTTCTTCAACCCTCCGTCAAGCACCGACACCGAGCCGTGCCCGAACACCCGGAACATCCACCACAGACGAGGCGCGGTGTAGGAGCCGAAGTCGCTGGTGTCGTAGACTACAACGTGGGTGTCGTTCCCGATGCCGAGGTCTCCCACATACCGGGAGAAGTCGCTGGAGGTCGGCAGCATGTGGTCATACTGGGAGCTCTTATCGCAGCAGTCATCTATGTCGAAAAACGAGGCTCCGGGGATGTGCTTCTGGTTGAACTCCTCTCTAGCGACCCGGTTGGTTTTCGGTAGATACCAGGAGCTGTCCAGGATGCGGAGTTTCGGACCTACGAGTTTGCTTATGACAGCTTTAGCTAGCCACTGAGCGGAGACCACAGGCGTAACTGGAGCCGCCATGATGGACAGGTCAAAACAGGAGCTGTCTGTGCAGATAAGGGACAGCAGGCCCCGCCCCCATGTTTACTCAACTACTACAAAAAAGAAAAAACATAGGTACAATGCAAAAACTATTTATTAAACTTTTGGTTAAAATACACGAGCTGCATATTTAGTAAAATGTGGGTTCGACATAAGATAGAAAAAATAATTTCAATACCCTGGTGGAGATTCTCAGTCATCCAGGTCATAGTCATTCAAAAAAAGTAAAAAAAAAAAACAAATCCATTGGACTTTGTTTCCAAGTTTAAAGAGGATTCACTTCCCTTCCAGGAAGCTTTTTCAGTTCAAAGTGAATGTATAAAGCCTTAAACCTTTATAGGGCAAGTTGCTGTTTTTGATCATTTCCCTACCCCTTACAAATGGACCCCCCACCCCCAGTGAAATCTAGAAACACAAGATCTATATCCAGCCATTCAGCTAAGATGCTGCTACATGGCTGTACATCTTATTTTGGCATTCAACCAATTAGATGAGCCCTTGAATGATATATAACCTCCTGTAAATTAATTAAAAAAAGATAAATCAAGAAAAAAAAGGTAAAAAGCTAATTGAAAAGTATAATAATCCTAGTTAACAATTATATTTAGGTTTATAAACTAAAATTATTGCCTCTAAGGTTATGTTGTACCAAAAAAAATGTGTTTATTTCTCTCTCAGGGTGCTCTTCATGGATTTCTTTTTGAAGCACTTTTTTATTTTTTTAATATATTCAGGTTATTTCATTGATATTAATTTTTGCCATCAAAATATCCATATTTTTTTAATGTTATAAAGGTAATAAAGTCTTGTCCTGGATTCCAATAACACTTGACTTGAAATGTTGAGTGCCCTATAAAGGGTTAAAATCAACACTATTTCTGACATTTTGTATTGAAAAAGATTCCTGGATGGGAAGTGAAACGTCTTCAAACTTGGAAACAAAGTCCAGTGAATTGTTTTTTTAAACTTTTTTGGAATCTTTTCAATAAATTTCAAACACAACATTTTACCAAAGTTAGAATCATGAAAAAGTCTATTATGTAATAACATCCTTCAGTACGCTATAACAGTTATATAAATACACCTTTTACTTGGATTTCTGGGTGAACCAGGGTTGATGTTTAAAAAAAAAAGACACTTCTTTAGCTTCAATATCGTTTATGTCTCTAAATTAGGTACAATATCCTTCATTAGGATGCAAAAACAATATATTATAAACATTAGCCAGAATAAAGAAAATTATCCAAGAAAAGTCTGCAATTGATTCTGTTTGATGCAGTGCTGTAATTCTCTTTTATTTATTTAATGTATACGTTTCATTATTCTTTTTTTATGGAGACATTTATTCACCTTTGTTGCTACTATTTAAAACAACATGGATCAGAATTTCCAACTAAAGATAAACTAAATATTTTATATTTATATCTGGAAAAATGTAATTTATATAAATAATCGAGGGAATAAATAAAAGAGGGGCTTGCACCATCTTTGTTATTAGTTGCCGCTGTCAGGTAGCAACAGCCTATGGCGACAACCGGCCACTGTGACAGCAAACCCCATAAAAAAGGTGAGCTTCATTGACTGTCTGAAACCATAGCTCACCACTCATATACGCCTGAAAGTGCGCATGTGCAGAAAGATATAGCTAACGGGACGAGCACTTAGGACGGCCTTATGAAAACATATCACCAGAATGATTGATTTATGAGGACACCTTATTAAGGTGATCCATCCGGTAATAAAAGATTGTCCTCTATACCTTTAAGTTTGCATCTCATTTGGTAATCAGGGTCCCGGAGGAGATAGAAGAGGAATGGTGAGACAGATGCATGAAGAGCCCAGTCTTCTCTGCTGTTGGTCCTCCATGTTTTAAAAAGTCTGCAGAGAATACAGCCATCTACTGGGACGGTTTACAGCACTCCATGTCTTCTACTGCTGATAAGCTTTATGGAGATGATAAATTAGATTTTACAATGGGCTTTGCCACCCGCAATCACTGCCAAGGGTACCAACAGATGGTTCAATGACCATGGTTTTACTGTGTTTGATTGGCCAGCGAACTATCCTGACCTGAATCCCATAGATAATATATTTAGTATTGTTAAGAGAAAGAGGAGAAGACACCAAACCCTAAGATTCACATTTAACGCTATCAATGCAACCTGAGCTTCCATTATAGAGCAGTACCACTGGCTGATGTCCTCCACATCAAAGCTTTTTCTTTGTTATATTTTTTATATGATCAAAGTTTGGAGCATATCAACTTTCTGTGGAATTTACCAGGGGAAATGTTAGGGGGCGCTAATCAAGCTCTGCAAAGCAGGGATTGTATGTTCTGCTCCTGGTGCTCCAGTTCAATACCAGAAGCTGGTTTATCACAGCGCAGATGGTGTATCCCATTACAGTCAATCACAGACATGAAGAAATAAGCCAATCCAGTCCTTTCTACCAAAACTACATAGACCATGTAAAGTATCCGACTGGATGGACGATCTTTAAGGAGAGCTTTCATGTGTAGCTTTCAGACTCTCTTATTACTCTGCTTCATTTCATTCCAATTTAGAGGGAAAATGAAAAAAACCCCAGAAAACTTCTTAGCTAATCGTTAGGACTTTTAAGAAACTGTCTAATTGGTTGAAGAAGTAGTTAGAAGGTGGACCGCACCCCCAGCTAACATAACTCGTTTACAAGTCAAACAGGTCTGCAAAAACAAACCGACACAACAGCAGCTTCTTCCCCCAGGCTGTTTCTCTGATGAACCTAACGAACACCTAATCCATCAATAATATTGCCCAATTGAAGCTGATTTAGGTTCCTTTTTTTGTGATCCACTCTTACCTTTTCCTTTTTCCCATCCTTAAACTTCAAAAAACAGGAACTGCTCACCTTAGAACTTTTTTTAACTAAATGTTTTTAGGAACATTTCCTCAGTTCCAATCCAGCTTAACAGGATTTTTAGCAGTCAGGAAAACTAGAAGATCAGGCTGATAGAAAGCTAGAATTGAATTATTTTGTTTTCCAACTCAAATTAGTCGAATTTAATACAAAAAATCAACATAAATTTTATACAAAGAAGTTTTCATCTATGATTTTTTGAAAAGTTTTCTACCGAATTTCCTTATTTTTATACATTTTGAAAATCTTCCACCGCTTCAATAAACATACCATCATTGCATGAGGAGATAACATTTTATTTTTAATCACTTCAGAATCAAAGTTGAATCATACATCACTATATGTGAGCTTCTATCAATTAGTGTAATATTCTTCCTTTCCATGACACTCGATTAAATGGAAACAGAACAGATTATATGTATAGAAAACTTATCCCAAATCCACTTTATTCCTTCTTCCCCTTCCCCTCAGAAATGATCAAATCTGGAGAGGCCCTTTTGAACCATTCAACCCAGGCGCCATCATAAAGAAAAAGATCAGCGCGCCCCAGTCGGTCGGCAGCCAGAAGAATGTGGCACGCAGTGACTCCGGAACCACATGAGGCCCAGATGGGCTTCTCCAGGTCCACTCCAGCATCTTTAAAGAGCTTGGTCAGAGCCTCGGTGTTGTGATGCTTTCCAGAAGAATCCAGGAAAGTTGTGTAGGGCATGTTGATCGCTCCGGGGAAATGCCCCGACTGTATATCTGAGAGGAGGAAATACAGGAATTTGAAGAAAAATGTCAGTGATCCTGTTATGTTTTTAATTGCACTTAACAGCACTTTTAATTACCTATTTTTTGTCGAAAACTCTTAATCACCATTGCATTTGTGATACTTTTGCAAAGCATCCTGATAGCAAAAGGAATCAGGGCGGTACATTTTATTGCACTGTCATGGTGATGTTAACGTTTTTTTGCAGAAACTATGCGTGATTGTGTGAGAGGAAGCCTTATCTCCAATCAGAAAACAATCTGCTCACGCTTTAATCAGCTCTCAGGATCGCTGAGCTATAATGACTAGGATTTTTTTTTTCTAAATTCAATGAAAAAAAAAAAAAAGCTGATTTCTGAAATAATCTGAAATATTTTGTTCGCCTGATGAGTAAAACAATCCAATAATCTTAAGATGCAAACCCAAAAGATTAACCTGATTCTTCCTTTTCAGTTAGAACTCCTATTTTGTAGAATAATTATTGTCTCCTTTAACTAGTTTCCATTTTTTTATGGTGTAAACAAAGACCCACATAATCTTATGTGGATTTAACCTGTTTGCAATAAATAGTATAATGTTACACGTTTTGCAGCAACTCTCCTAATTTTACACATATTAGTGTTTAACTCCTTAAAGAGAGCTGAAATATATCCCAAATCTTCCCTAAAAACAAAACTAGCTACAAAATGCATGCAGGCTCATCTCCAGTTGTTACACTAATTATTTCTACTCATCTTCACTGATTAGTTTTATCGGCAGTTATTTCATTTATCTTTATTGTTTTAATCAAACTGATTTGCTTTACAACCCCTCGGTGCAATAAATAAAGTTGAGCTGTTCAAACACTACATCACTCATGGTGAACATTGTTTACATGTTTTTTTAAGAACGCTGCAGCTCATCGCTTCATTTTATTGCATGATGTTATTATCTTAGATAACCTTGTTATATGATCACACGTTAAAGAACTTTCGACCCACAGTGTCACTCTTGACGCATCCTGCTTAAATAAATTTAAATCTTCTGCAAGCCAAAACGTGCATGTCGGCTGTATATGGATTGATTGGATGGTAAATGGGCCTTCAGATAGGCTTCCCTGTATGGATGCTGCTTTGATTTATAAGATAGAGTCCCTATCAGGGAAACCATAGAACTGTCAGTTTAAATCACAGAAGCTTTTAACTGATCCAAAGACATGCAAAAGTAGCTTCAGTCATCAGACATTTATTCTAAGCACTGAAAATAAAGCAAAACAGTAAATTCCACATTGTTAAATATGCATTGTCAAAGTACATTGACTCTTTTAGAGTTATTACAACAACTGAAGTACAATATACTCTACGTAGAGTTCTAATTGAACACTAATTTCGAGTGGGACCAAATGCGCTCTTAAAGTGTTACTTTAACACTGCAAAATAGCAGAAATACCTACAATTAGCAAACTATTTTTTCTATTTTTGGGTGATTCACAAAAAGTTTTAACCACAACTGTCCTCATTTTATACTAAATATAACATTTTAGTATAAAATTTAGCAAAAGCAAGAAAAATAGTGAATTATATTTTTGTAATTTTTCCTTAGACTAATGTTTTAGCCAATATCCTCCAGTGTTTGGGCCCCTGAAGTGAATATAATAGTAATACTGATATAGATCTATTGCATAGGGTTGTTATTGTAATTAAATTATGTTTAATTTTTTTGTGCCAGTGGTTTTATTTTACTCACCTTCTCTGGGTTCTGGGTCAGTTCCTCTGAACCTGCCAGCAGACCTTGCATCCACCACCTGGACCTTCTTGGTCTTGATGTTCTCCATCACATCTTCAAAGCTCTTCACCCAGGACTGATTGAGCTCCGCCTGGAAGTCTCT